GACAGTCTGTACACTGAAGTCCAGCCTGAGCTCTGAGGAAAAGCAGCAACAACACAAACAGCTTAAAGTGCACAAAAATCTGGAGACTGATTCATATAATAATTAAATAAATTCCCCTAGGGATCAATAAAGTATTCTGATTCAGATTCATGTAGGCTTCATTAAAGAAGAAAAAAACTGGCTGATAGACTGAAGGCTACTTTGAACTACTGGAAGCATCTGTGATTGTAATTAAACTCAAACATATGTTCTAACATGAGTCCTGTGTGGGTTTCTTTTTTCAGAGAAACAATAAAACTGTTTTTGTGGTTAAATGTTTCTGAAACAGTTTTAAAACATTTAACACAGAAAAGATGATAAGATGTCGATTGAGTGTATTTAACTCAACAGATTCTTAAAACGATCCAACCAGTTCACATCGAATGCATCTGGTGAGCAGGTCATCACAGTGTTGTCTTCAGTGCAGCAGTACTGCTCCTGCAGATACTTCCTGTCAGATTTCTGTCCTGTAGACTTATCACTCAGACAGGTATCAAGGTGCACGGTGGCTTTAAACCTGGAAGAGAGGAGCACCAGGGACAGAGCCAAGCAGACGACAGAGAACAGGACACTTTCTCTCTCCCCTGGGACGATGAACGGGATGACGATTCGGTTTCGTCCTGGTGGACCATATTTTGATGAGAGAGACTTAAATGTTTTCCACGTACCATCATCTTCCTTCAGAGGGCTCACAATGATATTTGGGATCATGCGTCCTCCGGCTTTCTTCAGTGAGTTCCAGTAGTTTGGCAGGTTCAGGGGTTGATATTTGTCAAGAGGAATTACACCGTGGAAAAACAACGGTAGTGAACGGTAAAAAACTCTGTGCTGTGGCCTCATTTTTCCTGTTGCAATGCCATAGGTTACAACACCAGTGGTACCACAGTTCCAGGGAGAGTACAGGACCAGGTCAGTGATGGTGGGCAGAGGCAGCAAACACTTGGCTGGGATCATGGAGTCTCTGATTGCTCCATGTGCCACAAAGATTATGTCAACAGTGTCATCATGGTTCTTCTTCTCTTCCTCATCAATTTTACTTTTCAGAAAATCAAACATGTCTGAGAGTTTTCTGAAGGTGCCAGACTCTGAATTTTCTCTCAGCCACTGCAGGACAGTTTCGTCTTTGCAGTTTTCTGTTGCAAGTTTTATTAATCTTTTCCTTTCAGCAGAGCTCCTGGGACTTTCAGGGCGACATGCAGCAGCCAGCCTTTTCCTTTTATAAAACAACAAAAAAAAATAATGTTTTTTTTAGCAAGTACAGAAAGCTTTGACTGGATCACTGTGATACTAAAGAGAGTGAGGTCATATATCAGCACATGTATGTAGATCTGTTGTGATATTTTTAATCATAAAAGTTTTCTACCACCCTGTGACAGACAGCATGTCCAGCCTGTCACTATTGTGTGGATGCCCTCAAAGGCATCCACACTATTGAGTTCCTGTTTCTCTTTAAACTTTATTCTTCTAGTTGTTCCACATTTTTTGGCACTTAACTACTCCCTCAGCTTTCAGCCGATTTTCTCCGTTCAAACTCTAAACTGTTCTGCT